ATGGTGACTCACCCCCTCCCCTGGGCAGCCTGTGCCAATGTTTAACCACTCTTTCAGTAAAGAAATTTTTCCTTACATCCAATCTAAACCTCCCCTGCCGCAACTTGAGGCCATTTCCTCTCGTCCTATCGCTAGTTTTTTGTCCAATTTGTATTGGACTTCACCTTACTTCTTAGTGTGATAGGAAAGTACTGCTCACCTTATTATGCCTGGGATGAGGCAACATTTTTGAATGTGTACTTACAGAAAAATTCAATTTCAGACTGATAGTGAATGAGATGTCTGCTGAATGAGAAAAAACAGAACAAAAGCTTTAAGCGTTCAAATATTTTGCTGTGACGTTTTTCAAAACCAAATACTTCAGTTCTCCATTACTAAATATTTGTTTAACTAAATTCATTTTCAAAGAGTTAAAGTATTAAACAGATAAACATTTTTCCATTTAATCTTCCATTATGAGAGAGAAAAAAATAATTTTCTCTTTTTTCCTAGATTATTTTACCCAATTTTTGGTTTTTTTGGTGATCAAATCAACAAAATAATAATCTCTTCTCACAGCTTGGTTCATGATCTCACCCTTTCAGTGAATGGTCTGTTGAAAAAAGTATAAATACTGATTGTAATGGGAGTAATTATACTTCTCTAACACAGTGCCTATCTAACATCTGTCAAAACAAACAGGAATTTTGCTATGGATTTCAACAGACTTCTACTAACAGAAGGACCTGCTGTGTTTCTGAAGATGCCTGTGGTTAGCTTGGTGTATTCCCATTATCTTCCAAATATCCTCGAGGTCTTTTTTTGCCAACAGTTTAGAAGTGACCATCTGCAGGGTTTCTCTGCTTCTTTGGTTATTGCATTAATATGTACCGAATACTGTAAACCTTGGGATGCTGCAGAGGCATGAATAAATAATTCCAACACATCAACATACTGGCCGTGATTATTGACCAGCAGCCGTGTCACTGCGCTGAGCAGAGCAAGCCCTGTCTCATAAAGGCTGTGCGGATAAAGGAGCAAACGGACACTGCAAAGCTGGGTTGGTAGTCAGCCATGGTGCAGTAAAACCTGCTGATGTGGTGTATGGGGGCTTGATGCAATTCTCACTGAAGGTCGGGGGAAGACCTTGAGAGATGCCAGTAAGAACTGGCTCAGGCCTGGAACACAGAGAGAAACTGGGAAAAACTGGGGAAAGAAAGGGGAAGCGATGTCAAAGTGGAAAGAATAATATACTGCTGTTAACGCTTTTCAGCTGGGGGTCTCAGAGTATGTTGCAAACACAAATTAGTCCCTTCTACCTTTGTAAGGTAAATGACAGCAAGGATATTCTTCTGCCCGTTCCACAGGAGACTTTTCACATCCCGCAGCCCAGTAACAACTAATTGGTGTTTAACCTCTCAGAGGCAAAGATTTCACTTGCACTGTTCATGTGAACAGTGGCTGTATCTCAGTCACTGATGGGAAATAATGAGTGATAGAGTCTGGAAACCATAACCCAGCAGGTTAATTCCAGTTCAGATATTGGGCTTTGTGTGTGTGTGATCTCCTTTAATGACTTTACTTCATTTACAGCATCTTTTTTTCTTTTATGGGTGATGTAGCAGGTAGAAGGGTGTTACTGCCAGCCCCCCAGGACACCACCAGGCCTGACTGCCCCTGCCCAGCCCCTGGGGCTCCCCCATGGCACAGGATCCATGTCAACCCCCAGGGTCACCAGCCCCTGGCCCAGCAACGCCGCAGCAGGGCCGGTCTCCAGCTCCCCTCAGCCTGGCCCTGCTCCACCATGGGCCCTGCTGAGCCGGGCCTGCCCACAGGCTGATATCCCGGCCTGGCCTTGGCCTGGCCTCAGGGAAGGACAGGAACAGTGAGCCGAGCAGTAACCTTGACTCCTTTTCTGTCCACCCTGAGGCAAGCAGAGTCTTTATTCCCTCCACATGCAACAGGAGGGAAGTCTTTGCTAGCGTTGAAATCCCTGTGTCTTGAGAGACTGCCTGCCCATCCACCCCTCTGGGTGAGGGGCAGTCTGGGTCACGGAGCGTGGTAGGAGTTTTGCAGTGGGGCTGCAAAATGCCCCGCAATTCTGCATTTTATTAGCACCCGTGAAAGCACATGGTGGAAGGATGACTGGTTCTGCAGCTGGGGGTCCAGGAAAAGGGGAGTATTGGCTAAACAAGGTGACCACCGGTGTCACTCACTGCTGAAACCACTGCTGGGCTGGTTCTCAGAACTGAGCTGAAAACAGGAAAGCCACAGACAGTAGCTTCAGGTACGTTACAGTTTTACAATAACAGACACCCACAAAGCCTGAGAAAATTAAGCTAGAAACGCATTCTTACTAGACTGAGAGGAGCTCATATTCAGCAGAGTTTACTGTAGATTCCAGTTGTTCCCAGCACAGCATTTGCAATTCCACTTTCCTTCAGTAAGAGAAATCTAGTCTTTTGTCTTTTAACCTGTCACGCTTCAACACTAATCTCTAGGTGCCTGTGAAGTGTCCCCTTGCACATTACCTCCCAGTTTCCAAATACTGGCTTCCTGTACCAGACCAGCTCTCCCATACTATCTGTTTTTATCTTTACTGGAAATTTCTGAGTAGATTTGAAGGAGTACTGCCCCGGGAATCCTTCTGCCCTTGGCCAGGGCTGGGCTCCTATCTATGCTTGCACTTTGCAGCTTGGTCTCTGCTGAGTTGACTTCTCTGTCAGACATTTGCATCTATCTCTGTTTTTACTGAGGTCTTCTAGGTAAGCAATATTTCTTAAGGATTATTTGTAGAGAAGTCTGACTTGCCCATCACCTGTCACATAGTTTGGGCATGGAGAGCAGCCCCTAAGGTTGACCAGACCAGGCAAAGACATGACATATGGCACTGACATGTGATGTATGGTGCTGATGTAGAGCATATGGTGCTGACATACGGCTGACAGCTCTCTATCCAATAGAGAGGGCTGACAACTCGTATTCACACATCACACAGGGATGCAGATACCAGTTAGCTTTAGTCCTTATGTTCGTTCTGCCCTTGTACTGGGCAGTAGTGGCTGATGTTTTGTACTTGTTTGGCTGTACATCTAATGCACTGTATGTTCAATGTGGGAATCTTTTTTTTAAACAAACTTCTAGTTCTCAATACAGAGGGTGGCATTATCTATTGTCAACAACTGTTGTTTCCTGAAAGTATGGTGGTATGTTTGGAGCATGGATTGCCTCCACAGTTCCTAGTCAAAGTCTTTGTTTTATCTTCTGACTACAGAACTGCCCGCCTGTCTAGCAAGCTGTAAAAATAACCTTCCTTTTGGGCAACTCAATCTGACATCAGGAAGAAACATTTAGAAAACAGAATTAAAACAAAGCAAGCCATCAGATTTTCAAGATAATTTTCTTGGATACTTGCCAAAGAGAAATAAAGATAAACTCAGAAGACTCCTTCAAAGTCTGAATAGATCAGTTCACCATAGTCAGATAAATTACAGCAAGTCATTTTGTTACAGTCTGTTACATCTTTTAATTATGATTTACTAGTTTCCAAAAT